TCAGTAGTATATTTTAATATTTCAGGTGCTTTTGTTTTATTAAAATACACTTTTATACACAAATAAGCACAAAAAATGTGTTTTAAATATAAATTAACTGAACAAAACAGAAAGAAACTAAATTGTATGAAGCTTATTTGAAAAACATGCATTGAATTACATGGAAGACAAAAAAAGGATTCTCTAAATTGTATTGTTATGCTTAGAAATGGACCTCTATCGTTTGCCACGAATGAATGTGTGTCTATATGAGACTGTTTGTCCTGATATTGTTTGCTGAGAAAAAACACGCAATATTTTGAAACGTGTTGTACTTTTTTAACAGTATTCCTTGCAAATCGTGCATAAATGACTATTTGTATGGAAGAATACAAATAGTACATGCATACTAACAGTTGTATTCTTTAACAATGAGTGTCACTGTAGGTACATATTCTATTCACATACACATACCACTGCAGCTCTATATGGAGGTTTTAGTTATTTTTTAAATATTTTACGTTTGTTTATAAAGAGAAAGAGAAAAAAGAAAACATGCCACATGTTTTAATAAAATGCCACGTAAATCGCGTGAGACACATACAAAATCCATAAATAGCATCATGTTTAGAACTGAGCCTATTTCTATGCTTTACTTTTTCTTTATTTTTGTTTTGTTTACTTCATATGAAATTTAGCTTATAATTGCGTTTTTAGAATATAAAAAAAAACTTCTAATTTCCACTTCGTAATAAGATGTTTTGAAATGGGACTAATTACTAAATACCAAAAAGAAATAAAGAGCAACAAATTTAATAAAAAATAAATTTTTGGTAGATTTTCTTTTAATAGTAGACTTTATTTGGGCAAAATTAGATGTTAATGTTTTATTAGTCATAAAAAGTGCTAGAATTACGGGGTATGTGTTTTATTTATGTTTGGTTTTTATAACCTACAACATCTTCAAAAAAATTTTGCTACAACTTTATATCGACTTTTGATATTGTTTTTTAAGGTAGATTACAAATATTTATATATATATATATATATATATATATATATTTGTTTAAACGTTCCTTTTTTTGGTCTCGGAAGTAAGCGTTCATACTCGACTAGAGCGTTCATGTGAAACTGGATGTTAAATTTTATAAACACTAAAGTATTTTAGAGTTATTAAACTATGGCTACTTAGGGAACTATGGTTTTTGCAGTTTTAGATGGAGAGGCAACAAAGAAATAAATTAGCATCTAATAGCCCGATGACAGTGTAAAAAGACAGACAGATACTAGACAAAGACATACGAACCAATATACCGATACTTGCAAATACAGACATATAACCAGCAGTTCTGAGGGACATTCCGGAACTAGTTATTTAAGCTACTACATAGGGCTCATACTAACTACCCAACCAACTAGGTGACTAGTTATTATTACATAGACATGTCCTGAATGAAAGTCAATGGCACTCCATAGGTTACAAAAATATAGTCATAAAGCTAGTCTAAAGTGTCTGTGCATAATATATAGTAAAATATCAGTAACGAGGGAACTGTCACCCTACTAGCTCTTTAAATAGTTATTTTAAAATGAGATTTTTCGTCCAACAAGTGTCCAACATGGGCTTAATCATTACTGCAAATTACTGTCTTTTTCGGATATATTGACTCTTTGTCGAACTGCTGGTATAAGTTACATATAAATGCATACAGACACAAATGACATAGACAAATACAACAAGTCAGACACAAACAATCACAGATATATATACATAATCAGACACTCATAGTACTAGAGAGATACATAGCATCAAATATGGACCGATTCTCATCAAATTTTTGGTAAATAAATTTTGGTTTCATAACATTGTGTGCAATTGTTTAAGTCATGGAAATAAAACCATATACGCACACCACTACGTGATAAAAGAATAAAGAAAAGACTAAAGACCCGTGTCTCCCAGTTTTGCCCAAAATTCATTTTATTTTTAATTTTCACGAAAATTGTGAACAAACATACATTATATACCCTTCACTAATAAAGTCCGGAAGGTATGTTGGATTTGTTTGTAACGCATAGACACCAACCAGCTTAGAATCATTTTCGTAGTCGATTAAGCCATGTCCATCCGTCCGTCTGTCTGTCCTTGTAATCAAAATACAGGTAGCAATTTTAAACATAATTCAACGATAATGGCATTACTTTTGATCCTATTGATTTTGGTTTATATCAGTCCATTACTTCACCTAGCTCCCATACAACCGGGTCCCCTAAAATGGATTTTGGAAACAATGATTATGCCAAATACTTATATAAATATCTTTTGAAATGTTTTAGTATTTTTGAAATCTCCGTACTAAACTATATATTGTGTCAATTTTTCATCGTATCAGAACTTTTAAAAATATCGAAATTTTTAAATGTATTTATTTTACTACAGTTTTGTATTGGATTTAGAAACATAACAACGTTCTCCTGAAAAGTACAGAAAAAACAACTTATTTACTTTTATCTTTTTGCCACAGAAATGATACTCCAGAATTTCATATTTATTTGATCCTAGCCTCCATACGAAGCCCCCCATATATAGCTTCTTTTTAGAAAATCAGTTTTTAATCAAAAATATATCGAAATTAAGGCAAAATTTAACACAAATGCTTTATTATTAACAAGTAAAAAAGTTTAAAAAGAATATTAAATGTGATTTATTTTTTTTAACAAAGCATTTATCTTGAATATTACCTTGATTCCGATTTATTTAAGCAATTTATTGACGAAAAACTAATTTTCTAAAATAGGCTTTATATGGGTGATAGGAGCAATACAGCAAAATGGGCTGGATAGATTTGTATTTATAAATTTCATTGCAATAACAGTGTTAATAAATGAATTGCGGATATTGAAGTCACTTTCTGAAGGGGGCTTTGTATTCGGGCTAGGGTTAAATGAAGTCCGATCATTTCGAGATCAGCAAGGCATGTATAAAACTTACTTGTGCTAACTTTCATCGAGATACATTTATATAATACATAATTATGAGCACAAAAGCCCTTTTTCAGGGGGTTCAGTTGTATGGGGGCTAGGTGAAATAATGGACCGATTTTAACCATTTTCAATAGGCATCGTCCTTGGGCCAAAACAAACGCGTATTCCAAATTTCATTAAATTATATAAAAATTGCGACCTGTACTTTGATAACAACATTTACATGGATACACGGACGGTCGGACGGACGGTCGTCGTTAAATCGACTCAGAAAGAGATTCTGAGTCGATCGGTATACTTTAAGGTGGGTATAGTACTAATATTTTAATGCGTTACAAACATCAGCACAAACGTCCTTCCCACTAAAGTGGTGTAGGGTATAAAAATAATACACATTTATGATATACTCATAACTGGTGTAGGGTGTCATATGGTCGGACATGCTCGATTATACTTTCTTACTTGTTTCATTTCAAGTGGAAAGTTTTACATTTTGAAATTTCACTGCTTTTTTTAACGACACCTGTACGTATACGTGTTAATGATTTAGTAATATTACAAATATTAAGTGTACGCCTAATTTAGAGAGGCACTTGAAAGTTACATTTATGATATACTCACAACTGGTGTAGGGTGTCATGTGGTCGGACATGCTCGATTATACTTTCTTACTTGTTTCATTTCAAGTGGAAAGTTTTACATTTGAAAATTTCACTGCTTTTTTTAACGACACCTGTACGTATACGTGTTAATGATTTAGTGATATTACAAATATTAAGTATACGCCTAATTTAGAGAAACACTTGAAAGTAATAAAATCGAAATTTTTAAAGTTTTTTTTGCGATTTTGATCTTGAAGATAAAGTTTTTATTTTTTTGTTTATATGTTCACAATTTCCTTTATAAAAAAAGCTACAACTTTGTCTAAGAAATTCAGGTTTAATACTCCCCGTTTTCAATGCCTAACAATCAATAACAAATATTGGGAACTTTCAACAAAAATTAACGGATATGCCTTAGAATCTAAAGAATATTGAAAATACAAATACACAGCTTTATTTTAATATAATAAGAAAATTATGTTTTCCAACCTTGGCTAAAACTTATTTTCCCCTTTTACTCTCTATTGCCCTCCTTCTCTTTCTGTCTCTCTTACGCTTTAACTTACTTAACTCTCAGACTAAATCAACATTATTTATTTCTGTTAATTTGAGAGTTTTTATAATTTGAGAGTTCCCCCTCCTATAGGGAAATTGTTTACATAGTTTTCTCATCCCCAAGAAAAATGTTCATAACATGTAACTTGTTTACATTCTTACTTCAATTTTTTCATAAATCACCATACTTTCTCTCATTGTCTGTTAACCTATTTCAGAAATTTTGTTTTTGTAAATAAATATTTGTTCGTAAATAAATTTTCCATTCGGAGATAATTAATCAATCTTTCAGCAACCATTAAGTATATTAAGCTACCTTAAGCTCCTTGTATTTTGGGGATATAAAATATTGGCAAAATTAATGAAGAAAAGAAATAGGTGAGCCAAACTCAACAGGACAAATAGAAATATACCCAGTTCACGTTTAATATAAAAACTATTTCCCGTGAAAAGCTTGTGGTAGGTCTTTGTATATTAATAAATGTAAAATAATACACTTTCAAAGCACTTATTCTATAAACTATGGAAAACTTTTACATACATTTCATTTATATAAATCACTGCTAACTAATAATATAAAGTTTAAAATATTTATTGTATTTTTCAATCAACTTAACTTTAAATTACCGACACACTTTTTACTTTATGCCATTTGAAAATTTTTCAATTTCCTAAATCATTATGTGTATTGAACCCATCATGACACGTTTCAATTTAATATTATCCTTACAAATTTGACACGTTTTAATATTTTTTTAATTTCCTTAATATTTTCAATTTCAACAATAAAACGAAATACCTAGATTATTGAAACATTATCTACAAATAATTACACTTTTATATTCATTGATGATACACTAGCACTAGCACTTTACTCACCTCTAAATCTTCTCGACTACCACCACCTCCACCAAGGCTTCCACCACCCAAAGATAATTTTCGATTTCGTTCACGCTCTAAGCGCAACAATATTTGAGCATTCTGTTCGCACGTGTATGTGTGACCTTTGTGACGACGTTCCAAACTATATTCGTATAGTGGTCGCGATGGATCTGGATTTAGTTCTGTATCATTGCCAACGTCACAACTACATAAAGACTGATTACTACGACCCTTGGCACGACGTAAAGAACCGCGATTTTGTGGCGTAGCCGCACGTTGTTCACTGATGTGATTCGAAAAGGTGACTACATTATTTTGCAAACGTTGGCCAGGGGGTAGATGAGTTTGTTGTGAGGGTTGATGCTGCTGCTGCTGTTGTTGTTGTTGATGTTGTTGCTGCGCAAGACTACTCGAAGAGCTGTGGCAATTGTTGGCGGCAGTTGATGTGTTATTAATAAGATTGTTGGTATTCAGCATGGTAGTCATGGCAGAGCAACTGCCGGATCTTAAAACCTGCATAGCTGTATCGGAATAATGAGAGGATGTTTCATAATTGTCAAAGCTAAGATCATGGCCTGCTGTACCGCTAAGACGGGCACCGTAGGCCGCAGAAGGCATTATAGGCGGGTAAGAGGGAGCTATGGCAGCAGCTGAGGTGGGACTGAAGGAACGCAAACGTTCACAGGCTCTCAGACTGCTGCGTAACACAGGTGTTTGGGAAGCACTAAGACTACTTTTTCGTTTCGATGGTGAGACATAGTAAATCTCACGTTCATCAAATTGTATTTCAGCCGTAGAAGAGGTGATATTACCATTGTCATTGGCATAACTAGAACTACGACCAATGGTGTGGGTTGTGGCAGTGGTGCTGGTGGTACTACCACCACTGGTACTACTCATATTGGGATGATCTATTAGGTTTTGCAGCAATGGCTTGCGATAACCACCATTTGTAGTGGTTTTATTATTGATGCTTTGTTTCTGAGGTTCGGGCGTAGAACTACAACTGGAACGATAATTACTTTCATGAGATGTTTGCTTCTGTTGAAATCTAGCCTTATCGACTGAACGTCTTAGATCGTTCATGGTTTCTGTGGTAAAACTGTTTCCCTTAAAAGTTTTGAAATTTATTTAATATTGTAGTTTTATACTTTTGTTAAGCATTTTAAATAAGTTTAGAGTTAAGCTTATTGTCATTGTCTTTTATTTGAATTTTTGTTCTGCTTTAAGTGTTTTGTTTAGCTTTTGTTTAATATTGTTGGTTTTAGTTTTTGGTTTTGGCCTTATCAAATATTCATGGGACAGCTGTCTGTTGCTTTAAAACAGCACGTGGTACATTATACTGAACAGTAACCTGCTCATACCATTTTCATTTGTTTGCATTCTCTATGCTGTTAAATATTCCACTTCCGTTTTACAATATTATGTGAACGATGATGAGATGATGATGATGACGACGATGCTGATGTTGATGTTGATGCCGTTGCTGAGGTTGATGATGACTATGATGGCAATACACCTTTGCTATTCATTCACCGTATAAACGTTTAAACTTGAAAGGGGAGGAGTTGCTGCTATTTGATACTTTAATGTTTTTGTTTCTGTTAAAAACTAGAAAAATAAAACATTACCACTGCATCAAAAGCTAATTTTCTATTCACTGAACTTTTCTTTGTTGGTTGTTTCCTTTAGCCAAAACAACAGCAAAACACAACAGTGGGATCAGTATGTATATATTCGTTTAAGATTTTTAATAGTCCACCACTTGCTGTGCCATTACAATTTAAAATTTTTCTTATTAAACATTCATGTTTCCCAGCCCTCGTCGTCGATTGCCTTCTTCCTCACTTTATTCTATCCAACATTTAAAAAAAATGATTGCTTTTAAAAGTGTATTCATTCTTGGCATATTCTAGGGAATTTAAAATCCGCTTAGTTTCTCATAAAAGCCAGCTGACAACAGTTTTCTTTTTGTGCATCTTAGGGCCAGTAACTTTTACAGCATCATCAACTTTTCTTTCCCCACTTTTTTTGTACTTTAAACTTTTATTCTTAAAGGATTAGTAAAGGTTAGTTTTCAGTTGCATACAAGTTCGTTCTAGTTTTTTCTTTTAGTTGTGTTTTTTTTAATAATATGGTTGCAACATTAAGTTGCATACAAAGAAGGCACCAAGTTTTTGTGTTTTTCTATACTTTTTTAATCAAACCTCGTATATGATGGCTCAACAGGTAAGATTTTAAGTGACCACAATATGAAGACTTGCTGAAATTGAGAAAATAATGTTAATTAAATATTAGTGTATAAGCATTAAGATTATTAAATTATTTAATTAGATTAATGAAATTTTATGGTAAATTTCTTCAAAGAGCGGTATTAAAAATTTGGCCAATAAGTTTTTAGTCGACAGGCTGGTCAGTACAAAAAATGAATGATATTTGTTTAAGTGATTTTCGAACGATTACCTATAGTCTCTTTGTAATTTCTACAAAATAATTTTCCGACCTTATAAAGTATATGTATTTTGGATCTTTATAGATAACGGATTCGATTAAGCTACGTCCGTCTGTCTTTCTGTTTGTCTGTCTGTCTGCCCGTCTGTCTGTGTGTTAAAATCAATTTTCTGAAGACCTCAGGTATCTTTGGGATCTCAGTCTTCAATAATTCTATCTGACATGCTTTCGAGAAGTTTCCTATTTAAAACCAGTAAAATCGGTTCATTAATGACGGAGATATGAGCAAAAACCTGAGACAACCTCTGAAAATTTCGTCGAACATTCAGACGCATGAAAACAACAACAACATTCAGATTATGCTTGTTTGTGTATACGTTGTGTTTGCTTGTTTATAATAAATATTAAAACGCTGTAAACAACAACAACGTTTAATATTTGTGTTTGATGTTTTAAATTTATTTCTTTGTCACAGAGATGGGATTAGCATTTATGAACGTAATGCGAATTTTTTGTAAAAATTAAAGAAAAAAATCTTAAATTTAATACTACTTGTTATACCCTACACCACTTTAGTGGGGAGGGTATATTGGGTTTGTGCTAATGTTTCTGACGCACAATAATATTGTTCCTATACCCGCCTTAAAGTAATACCAATCGGCTTAGGATAATTTTTTGAGTCGATTTAGCTATGTCCGTCCGTCCATGTAAACCCTGTAATCAAAGATCATTCAATGAAATTTGGTCCGAGGGACGAAGCCTATTGAAAATGGTTAAGATCGGTCCTTTATTTCACCTAGGCCCCCATAGAACTGAACTCCTGAATAGGGCTTATAAACCTTGTAATCAAACTACAGGTAGCAATTTTGAATATAATTCAATGAAATTTGGCACATGATCTTCTATTGTCCCAGGGACGAAGCCTATTGAAAATGGTTAAGATCGGTCCATTATTTCACCTAGCCTCCATAGATCTGAACCCCTGAATATGGCTTTTAAGTTCATAATTATGTTTAATATACTCGTATCTCGACAAAAAGTTGCAAAACCTAGTTCTATACTAGCCTTGATGAATTTTATAATTGTAGGGTCTCATTTGACCATAGCCCCTATACAAAGCCTCCTTCAAAATTTGGCTTAAATGTCCACAATTTTATTCAACAATAAATGGCAAACGTACAATTCAACTTAAATGCTTTATTATGAAAACAAAATCATATTTTATTTTGTAGCAGGTGTAGTGTATTATTATATGGTCGGCCTCGCCCGACTATAATTTCTTACTTATTTTTACCTAAAATTATTTTTCTCTAAATACATTTCTATAATACAATACATGTTAAGAGAATATTATATTCTAAAAAAATAATATCCTTTTCTATTTATTTAGTGATTTATCTCTCAACAATGTTTACTTGCATACAACATCAAATCACATAAAATCACATATTTGCTAAATATAAAAGTTTATACACAATTTCTACTATTTGCTTGACCTTTTCCAATGAATGAGTTTATCTCTAATGATCTTATATATTTAGAAATAAGGAAAAAAATGTATAAATGTTGACATGATATAACCTCGTATTCATATTAATACTACTATAACTACAACTCTACAGTTAAAACTACATTTATGCAACAAGCTTTAGAGATATACATACAAACACTTGCAAACACAAACAAACTTAATGTAGCATTAAAAGTCTCCACACATTATGAATATCTTATATACTTTACAAAAAAAGGAAAAAAAAATAAATCTCAGCACTATATGTATAGAAGAAGTACGAGGCCAAAGTGCGTTTGTATAAAAGTATGTTTGCATAATGGCAACAGTTTTATGAAGAAAATTGCAGTTATATAAATCTGCCCGAAGGGATAAATAAGTTTATGTTAGTTATGACAACGTTAGATATACAAACATAATATTTCTTATATACCAAAGTATATTTCTATATTTTTGCTGGGTTTCTGTTTCATTCCTCTTTTTTTGAGTCGTAAAAAAATTTATGCATTTCAAGAAAAAGCTTCTACATGAATGCAAAAAATAAAGTACAAAAATCTACCAACAACTACTTATTTAGTTTAGCTGTTATAAGTTGCAATAGCAAAAAAATTTGCAGACATACTACATATTATTAATATAACAGCTACAAAATTTCCTAAAATTTTTTCAACATAAATGTGGCATGGAAATGTTCTTTTAAATTTATGTTGAACATACAAACTGGCTGTTAGAGTAGAAGTTGTTTTTTCGTTTTAGCGTTGTTAAAATTTAGTCATATATCAAATCATTTACAAAGGAAATGAAAAACTCTGGATAAATTCTTTAGAGAAAATTATGTGCAGATTTTTCTCACAACATTTTTCGTTTTAGTGGCGCTTTACTAAACGACAGCGACTTAAGTTTAAAAATATTTTTTTTAAAAAATAAATGGCAAAAAATATTGCATGAAAATTTTTGTGTGTTTATAAATATGTATTCAACTGCAATCTTGTTCTGTTCAACAAAATCTTGTATATTCAATTCATGGTTCTGGCTTTTTTGTATAAATAAAAAAATAAATAATTCTGCCCAAATAAATGAATGCAATAACAGCAACAGCTAAATGGAAGCTGCTGTATTTTTAAAATTATAAACATTTGAGAACATTAAGCTAAGAAGAATTGTTTAAAGTTTTAGTACTTTTGCCATTTTCAACGATTTTAGCGCTTTTACTTAAGAAAGGAACTGCAATTCACAACTGTTCTGCTCTATAACTTATGTAGTACTATGCAGAAGGCCAAAGCAAAATATCTTGCGTATAAAGAAGAAAACTTAAGACACTAAAAACTAAAACTCACTTTACAATTGCTACTGAGGTTGCCAGCAATAATTGCTTGTTGTTACTGCTACAGTTGCATCTTGGCATTTCGGTAGAGGAGCATGAAGTTGTGTGCTGTTAAATAAAAACTATTTCTAAAAATCTTCTTCTTTTTGCTGAACTTGCAAATAGTTATGAAAATTCTTTAAAATATAAACCTTTCAATGCTGTATGTTTTAAGACAGAAATGGAGTAAGTTTTCGTTTGCACCTTTTAAGTTAAATATTTAATTTTTGAATCTTTTTTTGAAGTGATTTCTAATAAGAATCTTCAATTAGATAAACATTTATATGTTAAATGTAATCAAAATAGCCGGATTTATTGCATAATTATTCATTATTTGGATCCAATTGTTGTCAATTAACATATAGATAGTCAGACAGACGGACAGACAGAAAGACAGACGGAGTGCTTCATAGACAAGACTATGAACCTCTTAATAGTCCAGACATAGAGTGATATGTAACTAAAACAATAGGACGATATAATCTCAATATTGTATGATGATGAATAATCAAGACTACAAGATTAATAATTTGGATCCAATTGTTGTCTATAAACATATAGATAGTCAGACAGATGGACATACGGACTGTATATAGAGTGATTCATAGACAAGATTATGTACTTATTTATAGTCCAGACAAAGTGTGATATGTAACTAAAACTATAGGACGATCTACTCTCGATATCGTATAATGATCAATAATCAAGACAACAGACTGATGTGTAGTCAATAGACTGATCTACGGTCAAATCTATAGATTGATCAATATATAGACTTGGGACTGATCTAAAAGCAAGACTGTAGATTAATGTATATCAAGACTATATAATGATCTCTAAATGAAGATCTCGAAGATATCTAAGCTTTGGGAAAATTGTAGTCAACAAACAGACAGCAAGACAGACAGACAGACGGACTGACAGACGGTCAAACATTGATTTTATATGACTAAGGGAATTTTCTTGTTTGTTTTCTACTGATCTACTTACTCTCCAGTAATTCGTTGTATAGACGTACTTTTCCATTTATTTAAAAGTTGAAAAGTACCAGTGGTATGAATATACTAGCAACTGTAGTCCATCACCATTTAGTTTTTTTGTTTGCCACTACTTCAAATAAGTTTGATTTAAACTTCGCATACTGTTAATGTTAGTGGTTTTTATTTGTTTTTTTTTTCTATTCAAACCTCCTCGGTCTGACTTTATAAACCATAGATTCGTTGTGATTGTTTTGTGTATTTATATTTTTTTTCAGCCATTTCCCAAAAATTGCACCACTATTCCCAAAGTTGTTAGCGAGTATTTTTTTTTCATTATTCAAAATTCTACATAAAAATGAATTAAAAAGAGAAAAAGTTTTTCGTATTTTTTGGCACTAATGTTATTTGCGCTTTTTTTAAATGTTTGCTTAGTTTGTTCTGTTTGTCATACAACTTGACGTTTGTGACTGTTGCCATTTTGTTATTAATTTTTTCTCAAACATTTTTGAAATAGAGCAAAAGGACATTAAAATAAAAGTCAAACTATGAAATTGTGTTTTTATAGAAATGTTAAACAATTTTTTAGTTCTTGGGGTGAATTTTAAAAGGAAATTATGGAATTTTTTTTCATAACGAAATAAAGTTGAATAAATTGTTAAAAAGTGTTAAAGAAATTTTAATAAAAAAAGTCACAGAACAATAAAAATTTGCTGATTCCGACTAGAGACTATACAATGATGTATATAATATACTATTATATAGTCCAGATTATATTTATTTAAGTTATATTCAAGACTAATATTGGTCTATAGTCCAGACTATAGAGTGATCTATAGTGAAGAATATGGGCTGATACATAATTAAGTTTATAGACTGATCCATAGTTATAGACTGATCCATAGTCAAAGCCAATAGTCTGATCTATAGTCAAGTCTATAGAGTGATCTATAGTCAAGACT